AATTCGAGCTCGGTACCCCGTCCGGGAACCCTCGTGGAGGATACTGTCACCACCAACGACTACTACGATTTCTTCCTAACCACTCAAGTCGGTCAGGTTGGTCTGGCGCGGCCGACCCACTACTACGTCCTCTTGAACGATTGGGATGTGCCAGCAACGTTCTGGCCTACCGTAACCCACGCTCTGACGTATTTGTTCTGCCGCACCACCAGCACTGTCACTCTGCCAGCACCAGTGCTCTACGCGCATTTGGCAGCGAAAAGAGCCAAGGAGACTATGGATGGAGCTCTCTTTGCGAATCGGTGAGTTTTTTGGGAACATTGCTCAGTTCATCATTTATCGGAAAAATCCAGAATCTCTTGGAAATTTGGAATCAGCTCATGAATTTTGAAAATTTTGATAAAATCAGATTTTTCGGGATTTTTGGAATTATAAAAAATTTCAAAATTTATGAAAATTCAAAAAAAAAAGAATTGCTGAAATCCTGAGATTCTGAGATTCTGAGATTCTGAGATTCTGAGATTCTGAGATTCTGAGATTCTGAGATTCTGAGATTCTGAGATTCTGAGATTCTGAGATTCTGAGATTCTGAGATTCTGAGATTTTGAGATTCTGAGATTCTGAGATTCTGAGATTCTGAGATTCTGAGATTCTGAGATTCTGAGATTCTCGGATTCTAAAATTCTGAGATGCTAAAATTCTGAGATGCTAAAATCCCGAGATTCTGAGGGTTCAGAATTCTGAGTAACTGTAACTTTGAGAGTTTCAGAATTTCAAAATCTCAGCATCTTAGAAACTCAGAATTTCAAAAAATTTCAAATTCTCCAAAGTCAAAAATTGATATTTCGGGATTAGGAAAATCATCATCGTCAAAATGTTTTTTTTCAAATTTCCCCATTTTTCAGAGGAGTTGGTCGAGTTTTCGACCTTTCCCAATTCAGCGAACTTGCTCAACTGACAAATTGTCTTCAGTCAAATCCGTCACTGGATGGGATGACGTTCGTCTAATTTGTTTCTTTGTCTCTGTTTCTCTGAACAATGTAGCTTTATTATGTACCCTCATTCACAATAATTTCCTGTAACTTTTCAAATATTTTTTGTAAAAAAATTCCATTCTGCCAAATTTCTTCTCCTTTTCTCGTGCCTCATATACCCTTTTTAATGGTAACCTTCCATTTCAAAATTCTTGTAAAAAATATTTTTCTGCATTTTTTTCTCTCACCACCCAAAAAAAATCCATAATAATCCCTTATTCTTAACTTCGCCCCTTCTTTATTCTGTACGAATCTCATTATCTTACGGTTTTAAGGTGTCCTTGTTAAACATAGTAAATTTGCTTTTATGGTGTTCTTAGCGGGTTTTTTCAAATTTCCAGGTGGCCTAGAAAAATCAGATTGTTAAGCGGCCTAGAAATCAAATCAGGAAATTTAACAATTATCCTAAAAAACTCATTTGTCAGAAAATTTGGATTTTTTCGGAGATTCACAAATCAATCTGACAAGGGAACGTTTTTAAAAAAAGTCTTTGGGGATTCGCTGAAAATTTCAGTACCTAAAGTTTGACACCTCCTCTACACGATGACGAAAAAATCTAGGTCCAATTCCAAATTCTATTTCTATTTCTCTGAAAATTCAGATACTTAATGTTAGAAGATTTGAATTTTTCGGAATGAAATTGCTTGATTTTTTGAATTTTCCGACGTTTGTGAGATTGCAGAAAAAAGTCCAAGATTTCAATTTCTGGAATTTTTCGATTTTCCAAAATTTCGATTTTCAGAAATTTCAGTTTTTTTATTCTCTGAAATTTCAGTTATTCAAAAATGTTGGGTTTTTAAAGAATTCTTTTTCGAAGAAATCAAAAACTGTTGAAATTTCTGATCTCGGATGTTATGAATTCCAAAATTTAAGGATTTCAGAACTTCAGGATTCCGAAATTCGCGATTTCAAAACTTCAGAGTATTAAAAACCAAGAATCTCAGATTTTCAGATTCCACAAATATCCGAAATTCGGAATATAAGAATTCCAAAATTCCAAAATATAATATTAGAAATTCAGAATTTTGAAATTTTGAAATTTCCGAATTTCAAAGTTTCAAGAATTCAAAGTTTCAGATTCTGGGATTTTTGAAAAAAAAACAACCAAACAAAATTTATTAATACCAATACAAAATTAAAAAAAAAGAGGAAAAAAACTATAAAAATCCTTCATTCATTCATCCAAAAACACAATTAAATAATTATTCGTTCACTTTCTTCGTCTTAAATGAAATCGAAATTTTCACTTTTCGTCCTGTTGTTTTTGTCGAGTCAACGGCATTTTCGCAAATCCCAAACGTCTCAAGTCGTCCGCCGTAAATGACATGGCCGTGTTGCAATCGTCAAAACTGAAAATATTGTATTTTTCGTATTTTTGAAATTCTTTGGAATATCTGATTTTCAGAGTTTCAGAATCTCAGAATCTCAGAATCTCAGAATCTCAGAATCTCAAAATCTCAGAATCTCAGAATCTCAGAATTTCAAAATTCCAGAATTTCAGATTTTTACTTGTAAGAAGACGACGGTTTTGACGAGGATGACTCGAATTTCGTGTGCGATGAGGATCTGGAAATTCAAACTTCTGGATTTACAGATACACAGGTAGACCCACTTTTCAGATTGCAACGTAGCCGCTGTTGGAATCGTGGCGACGCCCAGTGACGTGGCATCATTCAATGGGAATGAGGAGATGGATCTGGAAGAATGATATTCAGGGATTACTGTAGATAAGTGGCCACTTGGATACAGTGGCTACAGTACTACACTTACGTGGCAGCGGGGTTGGGAGTGTGGATAGAGTGTTCGGCATGGGTGCAGACTATGTCCAGCTGGAAGAAAGTTAGAACTTCAATGTTTCACAATATTTGAATTTTTGAACTTTAGAATATCAGAATTTTAGTAAATGTCAAAAATCTCACCGAATCATTTTCACCCTTCTTCAATCTCACACATCGTCCTACCGTAACCGGAATGACCGTCTGAATCAATGAACTTCGAAAATGCACCAGCTCAGCGTAGGTCATGGATCCGAACGTCAGTCCACAGAGAATATTCGACGCTTTCCGATCGTTTAGACGACGTTCATAAATCCATTTCAACGCAATGTTGATGACATCAATTTTCATGGAATCCGGAATTCGCGACGATACAATTGTGACGATGGAATTGACGGAAATTGAGAGAAGATTCGAGTAGCTGAGTTGGTTGGTTGAGGAGAGAACATGGAGAATCGAAACAAGATCAGAAACGGTCTCATCGGATACGGCAAGCAATGTGGATGGAGAGTGAGGGATCTGGAAATTGAGAGTTCGAATTTTAGGAAAACACATTTCTTCCGATATTGCAGTCTTAATGAATTCAATTTCCAAAATTTTGAAAATCCCCTACCGTTTTCAAATTGGTCGTGACCAAATTCAAAACTTCCACACATTTCCCTTTTCGTGCAATCGCCACCAATTTCTTCTCAATCTCGTCCTGCAGTTGGCCAATTCCAAAATACGAGATGACTTCTAAATCGTTTTGAAGTGTATCAAAATTAAATGTGACTTTTCCAAAATAGATAAAATCCAACACTTTCTTCACACTGTTCTTGTCCAGAAACTTCAGATCCACATCGAATGATCCGTTTTCCGATTTTTTGAGTTTCTCCAAAAAAGTTGATGAGAATGCGGCGAGAACTGCCGAATGGACGAGTAGAATTTCATTTTGGAAATGGAGACGAACGTCACAAAAATTGCGAAGACCCGAAAAATCAGACTGTAGGAAATGGGCGGTCGATTCAAAGTGATTGGCGGTACCGGTAACATCAAGGCTAAAAAAAGGAAATTTCGGAATTTCGGAATTTTTAGTTTTTGTTCTTGGATCTTTGGGAATATCGAGACTTCAGAGTTTGCATTTTTCGGATTTCTCAAGGATTTTAGAATTTTTGAACGGAATATTCCGAAGTTTCAATTTTAAATTTGGAATCATTTGAATATTTTTGGGATTTTTTAATTTTCGAAGGTTTTGAAAGTTTTGAAATTTTCAGAATTTTCAGATAAATACAGAGAAACTCGAGAATAGCGTTATTTCAAAAATATGAAATTTCAGAATTCGAAATTTTTACGCATTTCCAAATATCCCGATGTCCTTCCCCCTACCAATTCGTCACATCGTTGTGAAGATTTCTAGTGCGGACATTGCAAAAATCGCTCATTCTGGCCTAGTGCTTCTGAAAAAGTGTATTTTTTTGAGATTTGGCTGAAAATATGACTGCGGCCGGCTGGTCATTTTCGACCGTCTTGCCCAAAACTCACTTCTTTTTCTGCCCGGGGGTGCTTATTTGAATCCCGGTTTACGTTTTGAGAAATGATTGTAAACCGCGCAGTGAGCCTTCGAGAAATATATGGGAATGGCTGAAAAGGGTGGTGGAGGAGGGGAGAAGAGAGGTGGCTTTTTTGCGGAACTTTTTTTTATTTAGGTTATTGGAGTAGAAAATAGAGAGACTTGGGTTACGTACATTTTGTTGGAAAAGTGGTTAAAATTTCGACGTAACGACCTAGATGTCATGTAATTGGGAGAGTGAGTCAAAGAGACTTTTTGAGGCGGCAGTCTGCATTCTGGCGTGGCGGTGTCAAACAAAAAGGAAAAATTTGAACTTCGCAGGAATTTCGTAAAATCTTCGAAATTCCGAGGTTCCCGACCTTGATTTTTTTAATTCAAACAATAGAAATTTTTGTAAAAGTTCACGTATTGCTAATCCTGAAAACTGTGTAGCTTCGACTTTCCGAAAGATTCATTCCGAAAGATCCCTTCCCGAGAAAATGTTTTAATTCGAAATTCAATTTGTCCTTGGAACACAGGAAAATGT